GCAGGAATTCACATGGAAGTAAAATTAGAACAAATGGAAGCTAGCATTAAACTTCCAATTGACAATAAAACTTCAGTGGAGAAGGTGACAAGTGAAGACATGCGAATATTTTCTAAGTCACTACATCTAAAATTGGCACAAGAAGTTTGAGGGAAAGAGAAGGTGTTTATTTCTCAATCACATGAAGGATTTGCTATGTAAGTTTTGTTTCTGCTCTGCTGAGTCCTTTCTTGTCTGGTGGAAGAAACAAATCCATTTTTCAGTGCTAGGTCTTGGTTTGTTCAAGTCTTACCTAGAAAGATGATATCGTTTAACACCCTTTCTGGACACATACATCAGCCTGTTTAAAATATGCCAAATGACCTGCTTCAAGAAAAGGCAATCGCCACTTGCTCTTATGACAACTACTCAAACCAGCTGGGACCAAATGGAGGTTAAGCGTGGGAAGGATCGATAAGAGCCCCTGAAAGAAGCTAAACAGTGAGGAGAGACCCACAGAACACCTACCTGAAAACAATTCATCATCGAGTGAAGACACTAAAGAGAGGTCCAATGAAAATTTACATCTGATCAGGTGAAAAGACAGCAGTCTCATCGCCAAGCCTTCTCTTGTGGGAAGTGAGACTGGGAGGGGCAGGGGTGGCCTGAGCAGCCTTTCATAAGGGGCGGGGTTAAGGATTCCCATCCCAGGCTTTGCATCCAGTCACTCGTCTTGGTTTGCATAAATGAACATGTGGGTTGTTTATATTAGTGGCTGCTATAATCCTGTCCAAGAAGGTATACTCTCCATTGTCCTTTAAACAGTTGTAGGTGACATAATGGTGTTGGTAACAGCTAACACTCAATGAGTACTTGCTATGTACCAGGTCCAGTAACTCATTTAATACAACCGTCCCAGGAGGTAGGAACCATTATCATCCCCTCTTTATAGATAAGACAAAGAGCAACTTGTTTAAGAACAAAAAGCTAGTATGTGTTAAAACCAGGACTTGAACCCAGGAAGTCTAGCTTTAGAGCCCAAACTCTTCATCACTTGCTCAAGACACAGTGTCCAAACCAGCACATAAAACTNTGTTGTAGAGATGAGGAAACAGGCTCTGAGATTTACCAAGCTCTGACATTCCAAATCCTGAACCCCTCCACTCTAGAGCTGTATGGAGGAAAGATTTTTTTTTTTTTTTTTTTTTTTCTAGGGTTGTGCTGCTCTTGCTGTCCTCCCCAAACCAGGAGCATCTGGTCCCCAGAGAGATTGCTAGGAATGCAAAACTTCAGCCCCCAGTCCAGCCTGGCTGAATCAGAATCTGCATTTTAATAAGATCTCCAGGTAATTCCTGTGGACAATAAAATATGAGGAGCACAGCTTTACTGCAAGGTAATCCTTCCATTTTACCATGCTACACCTCTTCATTCATTTACCCAATCATTATTCACTGATCATCTTCCACACGGGGGCCAGGCTCCATGCTGAATGCTGGGAAACCAACAGTGAATAAGATCAACACAGCCCCTGCCCTCGTGAAGGTGCCAGTCTAACAGTGATTGCTCAACCTTGGGTGCTCATCAAAATAAGCTGCGGCAATTAAAAAAAAAAAAGGAAAAACTGCAGGTGCCTAAAACCCACCGCAGACCTACCTACACACCTATGTACAGTCAGAAACTCAGAGACTGGGGCCCTAAAAACTTCATATCAAAAAAGCTCCAACTGAGGGAACCACTTTGGGGAGCAATTTGACAATACCTAATAAAGCTGCAGATGGGCACATGCCAAGAGCAGCATTTCCACTTGATCCTGGAGAACTATATCCTGGAGAAATGAAGGCACACACATGTGCAAAGAAGACAGAAACAGGAACATTCACTGCGGCACTGTTTCCAGAGAGAATATTTTTTGGAAACTATCCAATTGTCCCTAAATAAGGAAATGAATAAGCAAACCATAGTTAAGTCAAAGAATATGGTTACAGGGCAGTTAAAATGAATGTATTTAGGTACATTACATATATTAAATTACATTCTTTTTTCCTTATTTTTTTGGGGTGTTAATGTTTTGTGACTTGTTTTTAAATTTCTTTTAAAAACTTCTCAGGTGATGTGATATATAGCCAGGGCTGGGAATATTCCCCTGTTCTAGGAGCATAAAGTAATAAAAACTTGGCTATTTAACATCAAGAAACACTTCTACAGAATGGCAATGATCTATATAGCTATTGAAGTTAAATTACTTACTACCTTAAAATTTTTACAAAGATTAAAAAAAAAAACTTTCACAGGGCAGATAATTTCTATAAGCAATATTATTTTAGGAGGCCAAGCTTATTAACCAAGGAAATCAATACTTCTAAAAGTGTAATTGTCAGTTCACCAGTAATAGAATGAGGAGGGAGTGGGAAGAAGGAAGGATGGTTTATTTTAAATGTAGACTCTAGGGCCCCACCTCCGACCTACCTAACAACATCTCTGGGGGTAGAACCCCAGAGTCTGAAATTTTAGTAACAGAATGCACGTGTGGGCACAATTCTTTGGAACACCAAAAAACCACAAAGTATAACATATTTTTAGAGCTGTTCTTAATCATATTTTTAAAACCATACATGTCTGTGTTCAATAAGATGACATTCATCATACTCTGAAACTCAAAATAAAGTGTGGGGAATATTTTCTAAATATATGAGATAGTAATTCCACAAGTATCTTCAAGCAGATCCTGATAAAAGCTGGTTTCCTGCACCATGGACTTAACCTGAAGGACAAAGAAATGTATTGTACAAAGAACATTATTTCACATTGCCTTTCTAAAAGAACTTCAATAAGCAACTGGGTAAACAGGAAAACTCCGCTAATCCAGCCTTGCTGTTGTTCTCACCGGAAGAGGCCCTGGATATGATCTACATCAAAGTCAATTTCAATTAAACAACGTATGAAAAACGTGATTTGAACTGAGAGGCCTGGCCAGCGCAGAAATGGTCCCAAATTTACTCTCAATACTCCAGGTATCTTCTCTAGTCTATATAGTCTTTTTGCTACAAGGATTCACTTGTTTCACCGTGTTATCATTCCCTCAACCTGTATCTTGCGTTCCAGCCCTACCTTTCTTGACCTTTTTTTTTTTTTGGGTCTCTCTGATTTTCCTCTTCATTGCCCTTTCCCCTATTTTCACACAAAACCAAATTGCAATCCTAATGTACAAACTCCTCCAAAGCTGCTCCAAAGCTCCCAGATTAAAAACATCCCAGCACAATAAACACATAAAAAGATGTTCAGCCTCACTAGTAAACAGAAATGTGCAAATTTTAAACTAGGAAGATACCATGTCACACCCATCAGACTGGCAAGACATCAAGTCTTACAATGTCAGCATCTGCAAGGATGTGGAGCAACTGGAACTCCCAAATGCTGCTGGTTGGGATGCAAACTGGCACAAGTGCTTTGGAGAGCAATCTGGCAATATATTAGAGTCAATGATGCCCATTTCCTTTGACCCAGAAATTTCCCTTTTAGGTATCCACCACAGAGAAACGTTCAACATATGACAGGGACACAAGTTCAAAACTGTACATCGCTCTAAAATGGCACACACAAAAAACTGTAAATCCAAGTGCTGATCAACAATAAAATGAATATATTCTAGCACAGTCATGCGATGGAATATTATGCAGCAGTTAAAACCTAGAATTACATGTATCTTAATGGATAAATCTCAAAATCACCATTTAAACAAAAGCAAATGGAGGAGGTAATCAGTATTACAGAGAATGTTTAACACATTAGGAAACAATATTATATATGTTTATGGATATATGTATACCTAGTAAAAGTACAAAAACACATGATAAATACCAAATTCAGAACATTAGTCACCGTCTAGAAGAAGGGGAATGAGATGGGGAAGGGTTCACTTATATTTGTAATATTTTATTTCTTCATAGATGCATGGGTGCTCACTCTATTATTCTCCATATTTTTCTGTATGCCTGAAATTTACCATCACCCAGAAAGAGTCCCAAGTCTGAGCTACTTGAAAGCATTTGAAGGTTCTGAAAGTGATATCAGAACTTGATGGGCAGGAGGAAGGTTGGACCTATAAGTGGAAAGTGAAGCTTTAGGAACCAATAGGGTTTTCCATATACAAACACTCTTTAAAACTATCCATAAGCAAATAATCATTCTCAGAATTATGGTAAAATTCCATGCAGAGAGTTATGACACCCTCCAAATTCTAAGCAGCAATCCCAGAACAGAAACATTCCAAAATGCCTTTAATGCTGGGGTTGGTTCCTAATACAGTATTAGCCTCAAGAAAGTTTTTGCTAGTTCATTTTTGGATGGCCTTGTCTCTTAAAAGATCAGCAAGGCCTTTCAAACCCTTAGACTAGCATTTGGTTTCACCACACCAAAGGTTTATAGTAAGAAGTTGCATTAAGATATTTAGGCCAGAAGGCTTAACTAGTCTTTAACAACTCTTCAAGTCATTTTGCTTTGTACTGGCTCCATGGGTAGGCTAGAGGTAAAACCACCAAGAGATACCTTTCTGATGATAACCACAGAATTAAACACCATCATAAAACCTCAACTCATTCAAACTAACTAGACAGACCAAGCTGGGGGGGGGGGGGGGGGGTGGAGGTGGGCAGGAATAATAAAAGAAACATGAACTAGAGAATTTTCTCTTAATTGCTACAAAAAAAAATCAAAATTGAAAATTACTTTCCATTACAACCCAAACATAACAAATTTCCACATTAGTAAAAAATAGTTTTTATTGTATGGGTGAACTGTAACAAAGTTGATATCCAGCAAATGGTATGACAAACTTTAATTCTAATTAAATATTGCCATTCAACTTTGTTTTCCCCTAGGCTTCCAAGAAAGAAACAGAAAAATGTGTAAACTTCATTGTCAGAACCTGACTGACACAAACATCTACCTACTAGACCTGACAGGCTAGAAGAACAGTTTTCTTTAAATATTAACCCACCCCACCTGGCAATTTCTAAAAACTGACAACTATCTGAGTAGACCCTCACACATAACTGTGACAACTCCCAGCTGATACATTAATCTAAACGTACAGTTTCAAATTATCTCTGAGAATGGAAAGGAAGCATGAGTAACAGTAAGAGAGGAAGAGGCAAGTTATCTCTTCTTCCAAATTATGCGATTACATACTTTTTAATATTTAAAAAAGTTTTTCCAATGATTCTCAAGTATTTGCCTCAGGTAAGTGATTGACTTACCAAAATACATAAAAATCCTCATTTTGTTTTTGCTTTTTTTTACTAATTTTACTTTCCCTTCATATCAAGGTGACTTCATTTACAAATATTTAAAAGAATTCAAATCTGGCACTCACAATGGTTTCCAACAATATCCTGGGATCGTTCAGTGGATGTCAAACTACTATCTGGTACATTCAACATAGTTTTTGTTACAAGTTGAGGGTAACTAAGATCCCAAGAAATACAATTTGTCCAAAGGCACTATGAGACTCATGCGTCCCTGGAGACACACCCAATGGTCCAGATTCCAGTTCTCAGTTA